TTCTGCTCCGGGATTGGCACTTGGAGCTGTAGCTCGGCTGCCATGGCAAGACACGCAGACGCGCGTTCTGCCAAGGCTTCTGCGTTCGCAGGGGTCAACTTCCACCTGAGGTTGGGGTTGCTCATCTCATACGAATTCTGCGCACGCTCCACCATGAGCAAGAAGGATTCTTCGCTTGTCTTGACACGGGCAGTCCACTTTTTTGACTTGCTTGCAAACTGGTGGTTCGGGTAGATTTTTTTTGAAGCGAGGACGTCTTCAGTCCACACACAGGAGCCCCAGCCCATCGATCCCACATGTTCGAGGATGCTCTCGAGGCCAGCACGGGGCGCCACTTCAAACAGAAGCTTGAGGGCGACAGCACGCTTGCCCACCAGCTGGTGCTGCTTGGTGGTCATGGCATTCCACCTGCCAGGGTCAAAAAAAACAATTGCCAAGTTCAGCTAACAACGTCCAAATAAACACAGACCAAGAGATCCAATGCTCTGAAGGGCCACTTGGACGCCACTACGGTGGCCCCAAATTGGGCCGGCAACCGTCTTCGACACAAACACTAGCCCATCCCAAATTGACATACACAATTATACAAGTACGGGGTTGGTGGCCCTTCGGGTTCCCTCTCGCTACCCAAAAGGCCATATGGGACTCTACTTTGATTAAGGAATCACACACGCACGCACATGTCTCACACATGACACACCCGCATGGCACACACAAAGCACAAAACAATTAGCCTGGCAAAGGACCCAGTCATCTGCAAGTGTGAGTACCGCAGGCAAGTGGGTGGGACGACGGAGGTGGGGACTCCCTATGGGGCCACGAAGCGTGAGGGGTGCGCTGAAATGTGTGGCGCAGACGCATGTGAACTGCACCACTGGGGCCTTCGGTGGAGCTCCCTATGGGGCCACGAAGCGCTGTACTGTGTGTGTGGGTGTGTGGGTGTGGGTGTGTGTGTGTGTGTGTGGTGGTGGTGGTGGTGGTGGTGGTGGTGGAGGTGGTGGTGGTGGTGGTGGTGGTGGTGGTGGTGGTGGTTGGTGGTGGTGATGGTGGTGGTGGTGGTTTCGGTGGTGGTGTGGAGGGAGGGGTGGGGTGGGGGGTTGGGGGGACGCATGCGAACTGCGCCGCTGGAATCTTTGGTGGAGCTCCCTACGGGGCCACGAAACGTTGAATTGTGTGGGGGAGACGCATGCGGACTGCACCATGGGCGGCCTAGATGAAGCTCCCTATGGGGACACATGCGAACTGCGCCACTGGGGCCTTCGGTGAAGCTCCCTGTGGGGCCACGAAACGCTGTGCTGGGTTGGGGGAGACGCATGCAAACTGCGCCACCGGGGCCTTCGGTGGAGCTCCCTTTGGGCCAGGAAGTCTTGCACTGGAAGGGGGAGACGCATTCGAACCCCAGGCGCAGTTCGCATGTGTCTCCCCCTATCCAGCACAGCGTTTCGTTGCCCCGTAGGGAGCTCCACCGAAGGTCCCAGTGGGGCAATTCGCATGCGTCGCCCCCAACCCAGTACAGCGCCTCGTGGCCCCATCGGGAGTTCCACTGAAGGCCCCAGTGGCGCAGTTCGCATGCGTCTCCCGTACCTGGTACAGCGCTTCGTGGCCCCAGAAGGGAGCGCAGTTCGCATGTGCCTCCCCACCCACACACGCACATAATCACACCAGCCCTTTAGGGCGTAGGTGGTCTAGAGCGTTTCCTCTGTCACCCCCCTTCTTTCCCCACCCCTCCCCACCGACCTGGACGAGGGGTTCCGCAGGTCATTGTACATCCAAGATGGCCCAAGACGGCTCCAAGAGCGTAAAAACGAAAAAGCACAAAACATTGATTTTCCATAGGTTTTGGAAGGATTTTGGCCCCTTGGGGAGGCCCAAGATGCGATTCGAGGCACTCTAGAGGGGCAGGGCTAATATACGACCCCCCCTTCTTTGATAGATCTCCTCCAAGGTGGCCCCAAGAGCGTCCCGAAGGCTCCCAAAAGCGCCCCAAGAGGGCCCCAAGAGGCCCCAAGAGGCCCCCAAGATGCCTTCAAGAAGCTCCCAAGAGACCCCCAAGAGGCCCCAAGAGGCTCCCAAGATGGCCCAAGCCGGCTCTAAGAGCGAAAAAGCGAAAAAGCACAAAACATGGATTTTCCTTAGGTTTTGGAAGGATTTTGGCCTCAATAAATTCCCAAGAGGCGATTCGAGGCACCCTAGAGGGGCAGCGTTAATATACGACCCCCCCTTCTTTGATAGATCTCCTCCAAGATGGCCCCAAGAGCGCCCCGAAGGCTCCCCAGAGCGCCCCAAGAGCGCCCCAAGAGGACCCCAAGAGGCCCCAAGAGACCGCCAAGAGGCCTCCAAGAGGCTCCCAAGAGGCCCCCAAGAGGCCCTAAGAGGCTCCCAAGATGGCCCAAGACGGCTCCAAGGGCGAAAAAGCGAAAAAGCACAAAACATTGATTTTCATCAGGTTTTGGAAGGATTTTGGCCTCAAGAAGGGCCTCAGAGGCGATTCGAGGCACTCTAGAGGGGCAGCGCTAATATACGACCCCCCCTTCTTTGATAGATCTCCTCCAACATGGCCCCAAGAGCGCCCCGAAGGCTCCCAAGAGCGCCCCAAGAGCGCCCCAAGAGGGCCCCAAGCCCCAAGAGGCCCCCAAGAGGCCTCCAAGATGCCCCAAGAGACCCCCAAGAGGCCACAAGAGGCTACCCGATATACGCAAGAGGCCCCCAGGACGGCCAAGAGGCCCCAAAGACGGCCCAAGGGGCCCCCAAGCTCGCCATTGACCTCCTCCTCCTCCTCTTTATCTTCCTCCCTCCTCCCCCTCCCCCTCCCCCTCCTCCTCCTCATCCTCATCCTCCTCCTTGTCCTTTTCCTCTTCTCGTCCTCCTCGTCCTCGCAGTCCTCCATCTCCTCCTCATCTTCCTCCTTCTCCTCCTCCTGCTCCTGCTCCTCGTCCTGCTCCTCCTCTTCTCCTACTCCAACGACGACGGCTCCTCCTACATCCTTCCCCTCTTGGGGCATATGGCGGCTCACCCCGCCTGTTGTTCTTCTGCATGCTCTCCCGCTTCCCTGATAACCTCCACTCCCCTGGGACTCATTTCTGGACGGGCTGGTGGGGATACGCGAAGCGTCTAGAATTCATACATGATTAAAGCATACTCAAACCATAAGCAACACAAGGTTGATCCATCGTGAGGGAAGAAGTTGTACATATGTCAGACGTAAGTAAGACATGCTTCACACATAATTAAAACACACGTAATACATACACATCACATAGATACGATATATGTAGTACATAATCAATACACACTCCAGGCATTCTCAATCCATAATGAAGACATCCCTAGGACACAGATACTACATAACTCCTACACACTTTGGGCATACCGAATACATAGTTAATACGCACGTAAGACATGATGCATACATACTTCAGACACAATCAAGACATACTCCAGACACACCTAAGACATACTTAAGGCATGGTTCACACATAACTCATGTATAATTTAGATAGGTGTAGGTAGTAGGTCAACATACACAAGGCACAACATGCAAACGATTTGTCATGTGTTGGGTCACATAGCTTATACAAAATAGCATTGCATGCCATACAGAGGTGATGTGAGCTGGTACCTCATGAGTGCAGCGCGTAGCTTACACCACGTTGCGCACACCGGATACGTTGGACCACATACATTGTATCATGTGGCATGCTCTACATATTGCGCTTCACAAGTTTAGACTTCCACGCTGAGCTCCAGCCTCCTTGCATGTCCTACATCCAACTTTCATTCTCGTCCTACATCAAAGCTTGGGGCATATGGCGGCTCACCCCGCCTGTTGTTCTTCTGCATGCTCTCCCGCTTCCCTGATAACCTCCACTCCCCTGGGACTCATTTCTGGACGGGCTGGTGGGGATACGCGAAGCGTCTAGAATTCATACATGATTAAAGCATACTCAAACCATAAGCAACACATGGTTGATCCATCGTGAGGGAAGAAGTTGTACATATGTCAGACGTAAGTAAGACATGCTTCACACATAATTAAAACACACGTAATACATACACATCACATAGATACGATATATTTAGTACATAATCAATACACACTCCAGGCATTCTCAATCCATAATGAAGACATCCCTAGGACACAGATACTACATAACTCCTACACACTTTGGGCATACCGAATACATAGTTAATACGCACGTAAGACATGATGCATACATACTTCAGACACAATCAAGACATACTCCAGACACACCTAAGACATACTTAAGGCATGGTTCACACATAACTCATGTATAATTTAGATAGGTGTAGGTAGTAGGTCAACATACACAAGGCACAACATGCAAACGATTTGTCATGTGTTGGGTCACATAGCTTATACAAAATAGCATTGCATGCCATACAGAGGTGATGTGAGCTGGTACCTCATGAGTGCAGCGCGTAGCTTACACCACGTTGCGCACACCGGATACGTTGGACCACATACATTGTATCATGTGGCATGCATCCTACATATTGCGCCACAAGTTTAGACTTCACGCTGAGCCACTTGACTTGCATGTTCATTCTCTTTCATTTAAGTATCATCAAAGCCTGAACTTTTGGATAACTATACACAGTGCGTGTCCCCCCATCCATGCTGTGGGGGGTGGCGTTTTCGTAGACCCCAGCCCCTCCAGCCTGCTAGAATTCTCGGCAGGACAAGAAATAAGTAAATACAAATTAGATGTCATTCTACATTCTGAAGCAATCCGAAGATTTCAGTGAGGCATGCTGGGGCCCTGGGTCCAGTCTCAGGGCGACCGTACAAATTCAAAACACCTTCCACAGCTTCTCGTCAAGATAGCAACGCTGGGTCTGGACATGTCGAATTGTCCCAGGGGGCGCCCTCTGAACCTCGCCCTCTGAATTTCAGTGACCCCTGGGCTTCGCATGTCACCAAAATAAATGCCCCATTAACACGATTTCACAGCTCCTACGTCTTGGCACCCCTATGGCACCTGCGCGCAAAGGACTGCAGGTCCCCGAAGCCCTGCTTGGAGAGGTTGTGAAGCATCACCACAGTCACCACTAGGTTGTTAGCTCGGCGAATGCTCCCCCTCGCACTGAGTTTCATATTGGCCAACGCCTCGTCTGCCTTCGTACTGTAGGTGACCTTCAGGGCGTAAATCCTGCACACGGACTGCCAGAGGAGCGGGTGCACCTCCTTCAAGTCAATATTCTTGGAGTAGCAGTAGTGCAGGAGGGCCAAGAGCGCGAGGCTGCGAGCCTGCCCCTTGATGTACCCCAGAGAATGCGGAGCATGGGCAGTCGGGGCCGGCAGTGGAGGCTCAGGGCGAACTTGGAGCTCTTCAGGCTGTGAAACCAGGAGGGGTTCTCCAGAAGTCACGAAGCCATCTTTCAGGTAGTTCTCCCACAGCTGCCGGGTGACATCCTTGCCCGGCGCAGGCTTCATGCTGCAAGCCTGGATTGGGGGCAAATGGATTTGCGCGTTAACTCTCAAAGGGGGGTAGTAGGTTTGGCCAACAGCGTAGGGCCCATGATCATGGCCAAAAACAGCACCTAAGACTCACATCTCTGTCGTTCAAAACCCTTGAGACACATCAGGACGCTTCATTTTTTTGCCCCACGGCCGATTTCCCTAGTTCCTAGGAGGGCACAACCCCCATAGAGCCACCCAACAGCCCTTCCAAGCTCCGACATAGCCAAACTTAGGCCCTCAGAACGGCCACATGTGTGGCCAAACGGTCGCCGAAAACACAGACCCGCAGAGGTCCCCCTGTGGGTGCGCAGATTTGGCGGTCCTGGAGCGCCAGAGATGGCCAAATCGAGTCCCAAAAAGGCCCCAAGGCGTCCCCTCCAGATGGGGGGTTACTTACCTCGCAAAACGTGTTTTTGAAAACACAGAGTGCCTGGTGGAAGCCGAGCGAGGACACGTGGATGCAGAAGGCCACCTCCCCGCCCAAGTCAGACTCAGACACACCAGGCAAGGTCGCATCATGGTTGTACAAGGTGTCATCGGACTCCGGGAACATGTCGCGAAGCCAATGGGTGAATGCCGCCTGGTCTTCCTTCGCAGGCATGGACTTCATCAGGTAGGCCTGCGGGTTGCCATACTGCTTGAAGATGTCTTGGAGGTCTGCCGACGTCTTGTCAATGAAATTGCACAGCACCTCCAGGCCCTGTGGGACCATTGGTTCTGCCCATCCTGCGACTGTGGAGGCGTGGTCATCCAGATCTTGATCTGCTTGATCTGGCATACCATCTGGTAGTTGAAGGGACATGGCTCGCACTCTTGCAAACCTTGGACAAATCACACGGACTCGATACCTCAATAATGGCTCACCGAAATCCCAAGGACAATGGATACATGCACTGGAAATGGATGGCTTACACCACGAGCATGCCATGAATTGCGCAAGCACTTATCACATGAACTCATGTAACTGGGGCTCTACGGATTGCGCTCAACAGCTCAACTGGGGGACCCGGGATTTCCAAAGGACCCAACAAGTGACATGAAGTCCAATCTTAGGATCTTTGCCAGCACAGCTGGCAGCAATGCACAGGCTCAACGACAGAAAGAGCAAGCACTGTTTGAAGGAATCAGCGACAGACCCTAAGTCACCCCAACTAGTTAACCCAAGAGGGCATTGCTATCTACAACTTTCTGGGGGTCTAGATGTCCAGATTTTCTGTGACCACCAGATCTTCGAAATTGGTGTAGGAAGTAAAGGGGAGGGGCAAACTGCAAGTTACTTCTGGCTGACACCAAGAGAAGCACATCTCAGGACACGCAGCTAAGTTTGGCACCGCGGGTCTACTGATAATGAGCAGAGCTGACAGAAGGCTGATTCTGTGACCCCGAACTTTGTGAACGGTTCAGCCACTCCTCTGCCTCCCTGGCCCTCCTAGCCCTACGTCTGGACTCGCGCTCATTATGCCTGTCCTTCAGTTTACGCAGCTGCATGCCTGCATCATCTCCAGGGGTCGGGATGAATTTGCAAGGCTTCGATGCTGTATTGACGCTGGGGGGTGGAGGAAAACCCGGAGGCTGTGGGCCAACGCTTGCAGTTGGAGGAACATTCGAAGGCGGTGGGCCGCAGCTCTTCTTTGGAGGCGCCCCAGGCCCAGGACCTACAAATCCTGGTGGAGGGAAAGGCGGGGGCCTAGGTACCTTCAGCGCTGCATATTTCTGACTCTTCGCATTTTTCTCCATGATAGCATTCAGCCGCATCGCAGATGCAAGTGTGTCCTCGACCTCCATGGCTGCAATTTCAGCTATTATCCTCGTCTCCTCGAAGTGATTCCACAAACGGGGATCCCTGGACTTCACAGCAGGCTGCGACTCCAGTGTCTCGAACTCCCTTGTCAAGTAGATCTTCATGGGCCTGGCTTTGGCGAGCGGGATGAGGACAGTCTCTGCCTCGGTAACTTCGGGATCAGCCTTGCAGCCAGCCTTGGACTGATCGCCCTGGGCATCTGCACCAGTCTGACCATAAGCATGCCACTCGCCGTTGATCTCTGCAGTGTTCTTGGAAACAGACCAGGCAGCACCCAGGCCACTCGAAGAAGCAGCCATCTTTCCATTGCCATAGTCAACCATGTTTGCTCCCCAACATGATTCTGAACCTGACCACTGCCAGCTGCTATCCCAGCCAAACCAATTGTCTGCATATCCAGACCGCCACCATGCGGTGTCAGAGGACCACATTATGACATCTTGTCAGGGACACAAGACTTTGAGCCAGAGTGGCGACACAGAAACACAAAGTTCAAACGCGTGGGGCTTGCATGGGATCCAGCACAAGTCGATGTCCTGAAAATCATAGCCGACATCCGCCGGTTTCCCAGGAATCCCGCGCAAGTCCTGTATGATCCAAGGATCCAGCACAAGTCAATGGTCTGGGGAGGGGGGGTGGACTTCCGCCGAGGGTGGCGCCCTACTGTAGAGATCCGCGGGATTCCCAGGAAGCCCGCGCATCTTGGCATGAGGAAAACAAGATCTGAGATCTGCCGCGAGGCCTGATTTGGGGATCGAGCAAATAATTTGCCCAGGTTGCTTGGATGGGCGGAGATGTGCCGGTTTCCCAGGAAACCAGCACAGCTAGCAATCTTGCCGACTTATGTGTTGGAGTGGTGCAACGTTTGAGGGGAAAGGTGGCCCAAAAGAGGTAGCATCATACATTTAATTTGGAAGGGTTGCTAGGCAAGTCGCTGTCTGTGCCGGTTTCACAGGAAACCAGCACAGTGTAGCAACCCTACCTAATAAATTTTTGCATGGTGATGAAAATCCAGCACAGCTAGCAACCCTACCGAATTAATTTTCGGTGTGGTGGTCTGAG